TGGAGGGAAACTCATAGGATGCAGCTATAAGAAAAAAACATACTCTATGCTAATCTCTCTCTAATTTATGCTTTCATCTTTCAAGTAAATCCATAGCCCCTAACAGCAATGTCCACTGAAGCAGGAAGTCAATGGGCTGGGTAAAAGGGTGGGCCACTGGTGCGAATCACGTGACCAGACCTGCCAAAAGGGGAGAACATGCCCAAAAAGGGGGCATGCCTGTCCAAAGAATTTGAAGGACAGCCTGGCATGAATGCATGTCAAGCTGCCCGCCAATCCTGCAGGCTGTCCAACTAAGGGCATACTATGCAGGCAGCACCCTGAGCTTGGCATAAATGCATCTAATGATGCGCTCACTCCATGCTTTCTAAGGACTGTCCCCTAGCACTCGCTGGTCGACTTGTCACCTTACCTTCTTACTAGCAGGCAGAAGTTCCTGGTATATAGTCTGAGACAGAGAAAAGGTATATGTAGTGAGTGTAGAAGAAAGGGGACATGCCACAGTGTTAGAGAGACCAACGTCTGCATTACCTAAACTAATTTTATTGTCAGCCAGTCCACACAAGTTTTGTTCCCATACATCCCTCTTAAGCTTACAAACTTAAAGGGACACTATAGTTACCAGAACAACAACAGCTTGTTGTATTTGTTCTGGTAAGTAGAATCATTCCATTCATGCCTTTTGCAGTAAACACTGTCTTTTCAGAGAAAATAACTCCACTGGCCACTCCTTAGATGGCTGCTAGAGGTGCTTCCTGGGGCAGTACTGCTTAGTGTGCAGCACTGCCATTCAGTGTCTCCACCCTCTGCATGCAGACACTGAACTTTCCTCATAGAGATGCATTGATTCAATTTATCTTTATGAGGAGATGCTGATTGGCCAGGGCTATGTTGGACTTGTGCTGGCTCTGCCCCTGATCTGCCTAGTTGACAGTCTCAGCCAATCCTATGGGGCAGTATTGTAATTTGCTCAGACCACCACTTCTGATGATGTCAGCAGACAGTCAGTTCAGAGGCAGACCCAGCAGCTGCAGACTTGAATACAAGTTATATTTTACTATACTTAGAGGCAAGAAGGGGTCAGGGTGGTGGTTTTAACATAATAGGGTCAGAAATACATGATTACTCCTTTAAGCAAGAGTATGTGACGAGTAGTTAGGGTTGCCACCTTTCTTGGAAAAAAATATCAGCCTTAATCATTTGTATAATCACACAAGGAGTGACATCAGAGAAAATTCTTTAAAATCACCAACAAACTACTCACAGTTTGATTCTGCTGTATAGATGGATTGCTCCCAGTGTCTCCCTGTCTCCCAGTGTCTCAGTCTCGCAAGTCACCCAATGTCTCAGTGTCCCTATGTATCACAGTGTCAGTGTCCCCATGTCGCCCAGTCCCCTAGTCTCTCAGTGTCTCAGTGTCCCCATTTCTCCCAGTGTCCCAATATCTCAGTGTGTCCCCATGTCACTAGGATACTGGGAACACAGTGAGACATGGGGACACTGAGAGACCCGGGGACACTGAGAGACATGGGGACACTGAGAGACATGGGGACACTGAGATATTTAGGGAAACTGGAAGAAATGGGTACACTGAGACACTAGGGACACAGACACTGGGAGACATGGGGACACTGAAACATTTTGGGACACTAAGACACTAGGGACACAGAGACATGGGAACATAGACACTGGGAGACTAGGGGAAACTGGGAGACTAGGGGACACTGTCTGGGAGACAGACACTGGGAGACATGTGGGCAGTTGTGGACATAGACATGGGGACACTGGGACATATAGGGACACTAGGCACACTGAGACACTAGGAACACAGACACTGGGAGACATAGAGACACTGAAATACTTGGGGACACTAAGACACTAGGGACACAGAGACACGGGAACACAGACACTGGGAGACTAGGGGGCACTGGGAGACTAGGGGACACTGGGAGACTTGGGGACATTGAGAGACTAGGGGTCACTGGCTGGGAGACAGACACTTGGGCACACTGGGAGACATGGGGACAGTTGTGGACATAGACATGGGGACACTGGGACATATAGGGACACTGGGACACATGGGGACACTAGGCACACTGAGAGACATGGGACATGCTGTCTGGACTCTTTGTGTTGTGTAGCTGCTCCCCCACAGATCAGTGAGTAGTAGAGAGAGGCAAAGAAATGCTGTAACGTCCTATACCTGCCTCTCTCCACACACAGTGACCCCTACTGGCCGGTGCTGGTATTGCAGAGTAATCTCCATTTATTCTGCAAAAAAATACCTGCATTTGTATTGCCGGTATTACTGCAATACCAGCACGGCCAGGCAGTCTCAAATACCGGCTGTGCCAGTAAAATACCAGTCAGATGGCAAACCTAAGAGTAGTGTGTAAAAAAAAAATATATATATATATTTTTTTTAATTGGGCCTATTCCCTGGGCCTGGAGCTGCAGCTACATAAGCCCCTATGTTAATCCGGCCCTACATTGCATCCACTACCCACACACACAGACACTGCATCCTCTATACACAATGCATTCACTACACACCCTGTATAATATAATGAATGTGTGCAAAGCTATTATTTGGGGGGAGGCATTTCATTCTTTGCTTCTTAGGTCGGCCCTGCTCTCTCCCAGCCACACACAGCGAATATCTCTCTCCCACCCATGCACAGCCAGTGTGTCTCTCTCTCCAAGCCACACACAGCCGTTGTGTCTCTTTCTCTCTCCCAGACACGCACAGCTGCTGTGTGTCTCTCTCTCTCCCAGCCACACACAGCCGCTGTGTCTCTTTCTCTCTCCCAGCCATGCACAGCCAGCGTCTCTCTCTCTCTCTCTCCCACCCATGCACAGCCAGTGTGTCTCTCTCCCAGCCACACACAGCCAGTGTGTCTCTGTCCCACGCATTCCCCTCCTGCCAATCATTTCATGTAGCGTGGCCAAGGCACCACAGTAGAGAATCTTCTGTATCCTCTACCCAGTCTAACAGGAAGTGCTCCCAGACCGAGTAGTGGATACAGAGTTTCTCCACCACAGTTCACTCGACCACGCTACAAGTAGGTAAGCTGGCAGGAGGAAGACACCAAAAAGGGGGGACAGACAAAGAGACACACATGGGACTGAGGGTGGACCAAAAGACACAGAGTGGGGCAGGGGTGGAAAAGAGATACACAGGGGGCAAAGACACAAACAGAGGGGTTGGCAGGGACAAAGAGACAAGGAGGAGCATACTCAGAGGGGCTTAGCTGAACAAAGAGGCACACAGAAGAGTTGGGGGGAAATAAAGGCACCCAGGGCTGGAGGAACAAAGATACATGGAGGGGCAAAGAGACACATGAAAGGACAAAGACATACAAAGGGAGCTGTGGGGGGGGGCAAAGAGACACAGTGGGGCTTTGTGGGGACAGAGAGACAAAGGGACTGGGGGGACAAAGACACGCAAGGGCAAAGAGACAAACTTGGGGGCAAAGAGGCACACAGAAGGGCTGGGGTGTCAGATAAAAAATTACACACATACAGGAGCTTGGAGGATAAAAAGACACACAGAGGGTCAAAGAGACACAGGGCTGAGAGGGACAGAGAGACACACAAAACTGGCGATTTTGTTTTTTGGGGTAGGTGCAATTATCTGGTCTTGTCTAGGGTGCAAAATAGTCTAGCACCAGCCCTGCCTCAGTGTGAGTGTCTCCCACAGACCACATCACTGTTTCATTCAGGTGCACTTATGCCCCAAGTAGGGGACCTAGCAACTTGGTCTAAGCTTACTCTCAAACTCTGTTAAGAAATAAATTGTATCATTTTAACTCTATATTTATGAAAAATATCACTTATTAAAAAAAGAAATGTTTACCCTAATCTAATGTCCACTAATCATTGAGTGTTGTATCTCATGTATTTGTGTATATGTCTTTACCACCCACCTATCGTATGTGTGAGCGCCCATTCCTTGCGGGCTGCCTAAGAGTGTGCGTTGCTACTCCCATCTGCAGGTCAATCCACTTTGTGCAATGTGCATGTGCTCAATGTATCACCAAATCTGTCCAATAAAATAATCTCAGGGGGACTCAGAATAGGAGTATACCTCCCTTCAGAAGCTCAATAATCATAATTTTTTCAAAGTAAGTATTTTAAAAATGAAATATTTTTTTTTTACTACTGGATGTTGAAATTGATGAAAACATTTTTAACATAATTAGTTAGATTTTCTGTAATATAAATATATATTTTTAATTTATTTAACTTTTATTATTTATGTCAGTGTTCATTCATTCTGGAATTATCCTTTTTAATATGTTTATGGGAATAGAATAGAATAAAGCAACAACTGTACATGTGTAATGGACCGTTTTGCCCAAAAGAGGTTAAAAACCGTTTAGGCGATATTCCCCTTTTTCAGCTGCACAGACAGCTACTGCAAGCACCAATCTCCTGATGTGCAAACCCACGAATTCACCAACTCCCGAACTGCAACCAAGGGAATACTCTAAACTCCTGAACTGGAGACACACGAATAGCTGCTAGCAGACGAACAGGAAAAGCCCCCAAGCGGCTTACACTCCTGGCAATCAGTCTCTAACAGCATACAATAAATCCTCCCCCAATAATGAGACAACACTTCACTTTGAGGGTTAAGCAGGAACTCATTTACTGGGGCTAACTGCCCAGCTTTTATGCAGGTCTCCCACCTGGTGGACACTCCCCTAGGGGACCAAATGGGAGACTGGGACACAAAGGGTAAAAGGACCAATCACAGACTTACACATTTCAACCATCCCACAATGCATCACAATCCCTCCTCTCTGCCCTGGAGATAATTTGGGAAGTAATTCAATTATCTCCAAAGACAGAGGCTAAACTCCATTAACCACATGGCAGAAAACAAACAGTAAAAGACATAAAATTACCTACAGTTACATTCAGTACATAAAACATATATGTTCTACATATCCCCAGATAGCTCAGGTCTGAGCGCACATTATTAAGCGACTGGCGCTCAGACCACACGAATACAGTTTAATCGCCATGGGATTCCTATCTGGGGCACAACACACTCAAACAAAACTACCGAACACCGGGCCGTTCGTGCACTTTCCCCGAACAAGAAGGGAGGTCGGCGGCTTCAGCGGTGTGCATTCGCATGTTTAAAATGGCCGCGACCTCGTGTTCGTGATACGAATTGCGGCCACCCAAGATTCGTCAATTAAGCTGCGGTTAACCGCAGCTTCAGGGAGGTTAATTGCCGGCACACTCCAGCTCCCAGGTGGTCTATTCATTTGTGCGGTTGTTCAGTAGATTGAATCTACCGAATACCCGGCAGAAAAGCACAAATACGTATTTTCTGCATGGAAAAAAGATGTCTTTTAACATGGGGCAATAGTCCAAAGGCAGCAGGCGAGCAACCAGGCTTCTCCAGTGTACAGTGGCGAGGTTGGTTTCGCCACAACATGTTTCACAATGTTAAACTTATTCCTGTTTACTTTTAATAAAAATAAAAAATGTAAATTAAAATCTGTTTTCTTTTAACTATATCCCAATACTGTTTTTCTTCTCATGAGGGAAACCATGTTAGTCTTTGTAGCGGGCCGAGGGTAACCCGACTGGTTACATCAGCTAATGCAGCATGAAGAGACCCATTTCTCCCCCGTAACTGGATGACACACTGTTCCAGGGGTACAACAACAACTTTATTTGGCCACACAAATGCTCCTCCTGGATATTGTTTGTCTATACGAACGGCGGCCACCCAGGGAAGCACTCATTAATTACTTCCCATGCGGTTTCACACTTATGTTGCGAGTTGCCAACGTTCTAATTGATTGGTGTGAGCACGCCAAGGGGCATTAGAATCCGCAAATGCTCCCTGTGGCAAACCTAGCCACTTGGATTATAACTAGAGACTATGCCTTTTAGGGTTGCCTATAGGTCTGGGGAGATATGTGCTTTACTCTATATGTGTATGCTTTATGTATTCTCTGCATTGCCTGTAATTGCCTTTTCCGCCGAATGCAAATGGCGGTTTGTATGGGGGTTTTCTTTCGTTCCACGAACGGCACTTTGGAGGGCCATTCGTGAAACGAACGCAATGCCCCTAATAGCCCACACACTTAGAACGCCTTAACGGTGTGTTCTGGGAGGAGGATCCCTCTCGTGCAGCAGTGCCTGATGGGAGAAATATGCTGTAATGTAAGTCCCCCATGTAGTCCCCTCTGGGAGTGCCCCTGGGGAGGGACTCAGGAAACCCCTTGCATGGGTACTTGTATAAATTGTCCAGCCAAATTAAAGGATTTCAGTTGACTCTCAGAACTGTGTCTCGTCCGGTTACTGGGAGGTTGGGGATATTGCCTTGTTGTTTCAGCGCTTGACTGTGGATTATTTCCTGAACCAGCGGAATTCGTGGATTTAATATTGGCGTTCCGCTACAATTGGTGGCATACGACGGGATCCAACTCTACAGCCGAATACAGCGCATTCGAATGAAAGGAACAACCGAACGGAAAAAGGGAAAGGCAATTCGTATGAAACAAGCAGACGAAAGCGATCAGTGAATGGGGACGGATTACACAGCGTTAAAGAGGCAGACGCTAAAGGAACTGCTGGAGGCTAGAGGGAAAAGCGCTAGCAACAAATCTAAAGCAGTACTTATTGCAGAGCTGATGGAAGGCGACCAAGCACACAGCAGTCCACCCCCACCGGCCAGGGAGGAAACACCATACCAGAGGGAACTGAGAACCCGGTTGGAATTTGTACCACAGCCAGTAACCCTGGACATATTGACCGTACTGATGGCAGACGTCCAGGACTACATTATGGCACAGCAACCTCAGGGGGCACCATTCAGGGCAGAATCCATCACCAACTCCAATAAAGCAGAAAATACCTTACCAGGCATTTAAAGCGTTCTGCGAGGAGAAGGATGAGATAGACGGATACCTGCAGGATTTCGAGAGGTTATGCGACCTACACGACCTGGAGCCGGCAATGTGGGTACCCCTACTGGCAGGCAAATTGGCAGGACGAGCAGCAGAGGCTTATCGCGCTGTGCCCAGAGAGGACAGCAAGGACTATTTTAAAGTGAAAAGGGGCAATTCTAGAAAGGTATGCCATAACCCCAGAGGCATACCGGCGAAAATTTCGGGGATTGAAAAAGCCTGAAAGAGATTCCAATGGCAGAGTGGGCGCATAAGCTGGACCAAGCTTCACAAGGGTGGATTCAGGCAAGCCAAGCCACCACCATGGAGGGACTGCGCCAACTCATCCTGCTGGAGCAGTTCTTTAACGGCCTGTCACCGGAGGCACAGGAGTGGGTAAGGGACAGAAAACCTCTCACCCTCACAGCAGCCGCCCGATTGGCAGATGAACACTTTGGTGCCCGGAAGCACCATGGGCTCACCAACAGGGGTCCCCTGAGACCGCCAGTACAACACCACCCGACCATCTCCACACCTGCCAACCCTACCCCATTCAGGCCAGCACCAGGAAACCCCCCACCACCATCCCGCTACAGTGGCAGAGCCAACATACAATGCCATACCTGCCAGCAGTGGGGACATATGTCCCGGGAGTGCACCCAGAATCGGAGTAGGCAGGCGTGGAACCAGGTACGGCAGAACTCCGCCCCGAGGGTGGCGGCCCATTTCTACCACACGGAACCTGACCACTCGGAGCTGGCCAGTCTGCAAACTGAGGAACCGTTGGGGGTTCTGTATGAAGTGATGTCTGTGCAAGCCACGGACAACAGGCAGCATCACCGCCAAGTTGTGTTTGTGGGGGGGAAAGAAGTACAGGGGCTGAGGGACTCGGGAGCCACTTTGACCCTAGTGGCACCACACTTAGTTCCAGATGCGGCCCACACTGGCGGGTCAGTGGCTGTCCGGGTAGCAGGGGGAGCCATGTACCGGTTACCCACGGCCAAGGTGCATTTGAACTGGGGTGCTGGGGAGGGGGTTGTAGAAGTGGCAATAATGAAGAAGTTACCGGCAGATGTGGTTTTGGGGAATGACTTGGGCCAGATGACTTCCGCTTTCCTACCCCAGGCCCCTTCACAGGAGGCTCACCCGGTAACTACACGGCAACAGGCTCGCACCACGGCACCACCAGCACACTCTGAGGCTCAGGTAAGAAACCATGACCCCCCCTTGACAAATATGACCTGGGACACCCCAACCACTTTTGAAGCCGAGGTTCAGACAGACCCCACACTGCAGGTGTACCGAGATAGCGTAGACACGGACCAGGTGGGGCGGGAGGGGGAACGGTACATTTGGGAAAATAAGTTACTGTACCGGGTGACTGAAAGGGCAATAGGAAACTCTGTGACACTCCAAACTAAGCAGCTGGTAGTACCCCAGAAGTATAGGCATGAGTTACTGAGAATAGCCCATGACATCCCTCTGTCCGGCCATTTGGGGATGACCCGGACCCGGTATCGCTTGA